TAATGATCATTTTTAAGGAGATGCACGCAAATGTTCTCGAAGTGCAGCAAGACACTATGCTCATCGAAGACATAAAAGCTGATCTGAAGTCAATGGAAGCAGAAAAGGAGGGGCTGACAAGAAAAATAGAGAGGACCTACAAAAAAATCCAAAATCTTCCTGCACTGGAGAGGTATGTCGCCTTTTTCACATCATGTTAGACTACCAGAGCTCATCTTTTCACCAAATGACTTGTTTATTGTTTATTTGAATGGCAGTCGAAATCCTTAGGGAAGACTCCGCGTTAGGAAATGTGATGATGTCCACCCGGAGTCCCCCTTCCGCCTTGAAAAAGTTATTTCCTGGATCGCGACATGTTTTTCGCACCTTTCTGTGCCTTGGCAACAGTCCTCCACCTCTCTGCGCTCAGCTTTCACGCCAGGATACCCAACGAAAATTCCACATGTCTCGAGGGCAGTGGATGGTCACAAAATGGTTCAATTCTGTCGCGCAGAGCTCTCATCAAAAAGCCTGGCCATTAGCCCATCGGTCATCCTGGGGTCCCTTGGATGCCGCGAGGGGTCGTCTCAGGGCACTTGTCAACCGGAAGCCTCTCCTCTCTTTCCTTTTTCTTCCTCCCTCCTTCTTTTCCTTCCTTCCTTCTCTGATCCCTCCTCCTTTACCTTCTCCCTTCAACTACTGGACTGGTAGATGCCTCGTGAAAATAACCCTGGACCCTCGCAGCGAGAGCAGGTCTGGTTGACAAGAGCCCCGTAACCGCGAGGGGTCCATGCGGTAACCGCTCTCACAAAATCGTATGGTGCCCTCGCGACGAGCAGCCCACCCAATCATCGGTTCTCTAGGCTAATACGGCAGAGTCTTTGAGTGTAGTCCGAAATCTGGACTGCTTTTGTACTGGGGCTGGACTTGCTTTTTTTTTTGGCCGCTGAAAGGCTGGAAATACAAAAACTAGAAATTCTTGAAACTATCTGGAAAAAATTCATTCATAAGTTTGCTTGACTACTGGACTCTAAATTACCCGCATTGCTTTGAGCTGTTCCAGGCAAATGGCAGCAGCTGATCAGCTCAGCTTGCACAAGGAACGCCTAGAACACATGGAAATGCAACGATCGGAGCAGCGCGACGGGGTTCTGCTCCTTTTATTTAATTTAATTTTCTAGTAAAATGCGACTTCATTCGAGGTAATCCATGCCGAGAAACGAGTTCAACGTCTCAAAGATCAGCTCAACGAATTACGCCAAGCATCAGAGGACATTGATCCCTCGAATCTTATCGCTCAGTTGAAGGTACTGTTACCATTTCCGCTTGATCATGATCAGAGCACGTCGTACGCTGGGGAATCCCCACGGTGGGGTCGTATTTGGTCGCTGGAGGGAGTAGGGTCGTATTTGGTGTGGCAAAAATTTTTCGGTGGTTGATTTTCCTTTTTCACGCGCGCCATTTATGTCGCTAGGAGAATACCAATGTGTGGATAGGTGGGGGAGGGAGAATTGCTTTGCTCTGGGAAAGGAGGGCCGTATTCTCGGTTGCGTTTTTCGCGGTTTTTCCCGTTTGTCTGGTGTCAACCCTCCGCTCTACGGCACAATTTTTTGAGAAGCACTGGAAAATTTTGGGGAAAAATGAGTAGGAAGCCTGGAAATGTTGGCAAGACAGGAAGGAGGCGGGGGGAATCGTAGCAGAGGACGAAACTGAGAGAGGGGGTCCTGCTTTGTGAAAAAAATTCGGCACTATTACCTTGCCGGTTTCTGACCGACTTTTTTCTCCGTGGACAGATTCGGCTCAAATGTTGTCTCCTAGGGTAGTTTGATCTCCTGAATACGAATATCACATTCGCTTAGCCTGAAACTTCCTGGCGCCCGCGCCACAGGCGCCGTTGTGCCGGGCTTGGACTGTGGGTAATTTGGCCGCCAGCGCCTGTAGCGCGGGCGCCCAGGAGAATTTCTGCTAAGCGGACTCGTGACATTCGTCGACGTTTTGGGCAGGTCAGGACTACCCTGGGAACAAATTTTCAGTGCGAAAATGCTGGTGCTCATTAGGGTGTTTGTTATGGCGGCCGGACGAGCCGTGCGCGGGGCCGCGGTAGCTAGTTTTAGGCGGTGGGACACGAGGGATGTGATATTCCGGTGGTTTAGGACCAGGTTAGACGTGCCCGTTTCTGCAGACAGAATTGCTGAAGTCGAGTGCCAAGTCTTGGGGACCAACGCAGGAAACAAATCAGGTTAAAAAACCGCGGTTTAATTAGAACACAGGGACAGGTGAAAGGGTAAATGGTGGCCAAAAATTTGTCCCTAAAACCAGGTTGGCAGGAACGTGCCCCTAATAATAATGTTAGCTTTATCGTCAACGAGGTATGTTGGATTTTGACCAACATCTTAAGGTAGCGCTCTACGAAAAATTGGGGGTTCAATCAGCAAAATTTATCAAACGAAAAGCAACCGAAATGTAAAGGACAACAACAAAAAATAATATTGAGATCACTAGCAACGTAGATGTGAGGCCCAACAAAAATAGCGATCAAACATGAATGCGCCTAAGGGTGTTGGTGAAAGGCGGAGAGGTCGAACCGCACCACTGGCATGCGGAGGGCGAAAGGTCCTAGAATCCGAAGTGAATAGATATGCCTAAGGGGGTGGGGGTGTAGTCCGTGTGGCGTCCGGCTCCGGCGTCGTCGTCCGTCTGAAGAGGAAATTTCGGAAATCAAAATCAAGATGGGATAGAGGGACGAACTCCGGACTCCTCGCGGCGTAATCGACAGAACGAAGTAAGAAGAAAAACTACAACAGTACCAGGAGTAAAGTCTTTTATAGGCTAGAGACCCGCCAAAATTGTTCTATTGCCGCAGCCCCTTGTCTTGCGCCGCGAGGCCTCGCATTGACCGGACTAAGTCCCGCCGTACCGGCAGATTGAAATACGCGCCGCGGAACCTACATATTAGGCGCGCTCTTTCACTAACAAATACAGGTTGTCTTTCGGGCTTAGACAGAAACTCGTTGAGAGGGAGAAGACTCGCGCGTGTCTCAATAAAAAAAATCACTGAACCGCAGGCACAGCACATCATGATACCTACATGCTAATTATTTATACACAGGACGAAATCCGCAACGAGATTCGTACGTTTATGAGACGAAACAACATCATGCCAAAAAGCAGATTGACCATGAAAAAGCGTCAAAGTGGTCTCTCGCACACCACTCGTTCAATGCACCGAAATATACGCACGACGAGCAATTTCGACATTGAATGCTTTGCAGGCTAGAGCGAGAGACTTGCCGACTCTCAACTAATCGGAGTAATATTGTCGCTTCTGGGGCGGTCAGCTATGGACGTTAACTACACATCACTCTTAGTATGAGCCCACTTGTGAGAAAACCTACAGCCCTGGCTACATTTGGGAGCAAAGGCCTGGTTTCATTCGCGACATCACATGATAGAGGATTAAGGTTTGGCATATAAACGACATAGGTGCTGAGTAACTGTGGTAAATAGAAGAAAGCGCCATGCCACGCATGCCAAAGCCTGCCTAGAGTGGAACCGCCCATTTTGAATCTCAATTCTGTACGTGCCCAGTTAAACATCTTAACGCCCGCCATATCCGCACAGCTGAATTGCGCGCTGATAGAAAAATCCACGACCGTACCAGTAACAATTTTCATGCTTTTTCGTCCTGCAGCTTCGTTTTTCACTGAAAGGCGGGCCTGAAGGCGGAGTCTGGAGGCGGAGTCACTGGAAAAAAGGAGGCGTCACTGAACCTATACTGCGCCATAGCGCCCTTTCCTTACAATTTTTTTTCCGCGAAACCCTATAAGTTCGTCGATGACCACACTACCCTCCCTCCCGAAGCCATATTTTCAACTTCTATACCTGAACGTGGACCGTGCCTTTAAGAGATCCCCTTATTAATGGAAAATCATCAGTGAACCGCATTATGATAGCTGTTTGCAGGTGGAAGAAAAGACAAAAAGAATAATGGATTTGGAGCAGGAACGAGATAAAGGTGAAGAACAAAACAACGAGAACTTCAGGTGGCTTCGAAATGATATCTTAAGTATTATACTTGGGAGATAAGTTGTTCTGTGTAATACTTGGGATAAAATAGAAATAGGCTGCTATATTGACCCTGCGAGGTCATATGATGGAGACCTGAGCCATTTATGCAGAAGTAAAGTAGCGCAGGAATAAACCAAACACTTCAAAGATCATTATCCCGTTTTAGTTCAAACTGCCCTTCAGACGGACAGGCTTTTTAAACTTTTGAAGTGGACAACTCGCCTTTCACGGTCCGTTCATGACGACTACATGGTAGATCGGGGGGTTCAATTTAATCCATAGACGACGAGCTAGGTTGGCGACGGGTTTGGTTCCCGCGAGGTGAGGCGCCCCTAAGGGTTTACAACACTGGCAAACCCAGGGCACTGAAAAGCTGGAAGCAAATTTTGCTGCCAGGCAGCGTAATTTTCGAAATCCTATCAGGCACTTTTGATTTCCATCTGGGACTTTGGAGTACTTGTGCAGTAAATATTCTGAGAGCCTGTCTGCGTAGTGTACAGGGTACAGCATCGTGATGTGAGAAATGGTAGTGTAGGTACGACCCCCCCCCTCCGAGAGAGGGTGTCAGTACGACCCCCACACACCTAAATGAGGGTCTCGGTACGACCTCCTCCCTTCCCCCACACCTACCTATAATCTCCCACATTTTCCAGTTCCAAAAATTTCCTGTCGTGTGGGAGAGGGGGGGGGGTTAGTACAATGTGAAACGGGAGAATTTCTTAAAACATCCCCAAGTTCCTACCTTTTTTCCGGAACTTACCGCGAATTTTCCTACTTTTCTCCAAAAATTTTGCTGTCGAGCGGGAGGGGGAGGGGGAGGCAGTCAATTCAAACGCAGCACATTCCTCTCAAACGCACACACGATTCCCTTCTCTCTCTCCCAACGACCGAATACGCCCCCCCCCCCCTCCCCAGCGGGAAGGTACGATCCCCCTATGCTGTTTCACCCAACGATGCTGTACCCTGGTAGTGTAGGCTTATTCAGACGCCTATGAGGTCACGGCACAGCACGATTTTGTGGCGTTAAAGATGAGTCGACATAAATATGAAACAACTAGACAAAGCGAATCCCGTGTAGCTCTGTGATCTTTGAGCTGCTTACACCCCTGTTTTGGATTTGTGAATTGATTTTAGAGCTACATGAAACTCTATTAAGTATTGATTCAGAAGGGACGGAGCAAGTTAACAAATTTAAGATAAAAAACTGAAAACATGAGAATTAACACTGAGAAATAAATGATCGTTGTTCAGCATTTTCCGTCATCAAGCTGCAAATGTTGAACGTCGGAAGAACACGCTCGCGCAGAAACTCCAGGATACCAGGTAAGCGTGTCTAATCGTATGCGCTGCAAAAAGGCCTTTCACCGAGAACTGAACCTGTTTGGTACCATTACGAGTGTGGGCGAGTTTGGAGGAGATTCTGAAACACATTTCAACTGGCCACACCCCATGAATATATCCCAAACAACATCTGGTGAGGCAGCAATCGCTTGATGCACAATCTGCAAGGCAGAGGTCCTTTTACGACTGCTTGAACTTGTACGCTCGGAACCGTTTAATGCAGACAGTATCCCGAAACTATGAGAACAGGATATATGGCATGCTGATCCCAGCGAGAGGGATCGTAATTGCCTCTGAGAAAAATTTTGTTGAATTGTGAGAGTCCTTGACTCTCTCCTGTTCTGGGAGTGCGTATATCCTCG